TGATGAAATAACCCATAAACAACACATAGAATTAGACTTTCTACTGAGATACTAAAAGCCACAAACCAATAGTATAATAAATGAATATCTAAAAATTCTAAAAGGTAGCCAATCTAGTATAGTTTCAATCCTGATTAGAGTCATGATCACTGTCTGAGGAACTGTCATTGCTATCACTTTCACCTCCTATGTTGATTATTATTTCTTCCTGTATTTCTTGAATGAGACTGTCTTTTTCCCAATATTCATCTTCAATTTTTATAACATGTCCAATAACCTTTTGCCAGTCACTGGCACTTACTGAAGCGATGGCCTTATTAGAAATTTCATCTAGTTTTTTTATAGTAAATTCGCCGCTTGTATTATGGCTTCTAATGAAAAATTTTACTTGTGCCCAAATCATCTCTATGGGATTAAACTGACACATATAGGGTGGCGTTCGAAGTGGGGTGTGTCCGAAACTTCTTATTAAATTATCTATCTTATAATTTTTCTCATCAGATGGTGGCCTATGTAGACAAGCTATTTCATAAAGCTCCATTTTTTTAGCATTAGGATCATGCTCTATACCTTTTTTGCTCAACCACGTGATGATGTCTCTTTTTAGAGAAGATCTAGTTGGAGGCTTGTCTTCCAAAGCTGAATGGTAAGGTGCATTATCCATTATTATAATACTATTAGGAGGAATGTTAGGAAATAGTTTTTCAGTAAGCCACTTCGTGAAATTTTCTTGGTTCATTTGACCGTGATAATCACCAGTGGCACAGCCAGCCTTGAAAATGAGACAGGCTCCAGGAACAAAACCATCTTGCGAACCCGCATGAACAATTATAAGTCGTCCTGGAAATGAATAAATAGCCTCATTTTAGTGTTATTTTAAGTTTGCCAACACCTTTTTGAATCACTATGTATAAAAAACATATTTTTGAGAAAAAAATACTTGCAAGGGATTATGTATTCAATTAGACAAATTAAATGAGCACTTATTAAGAATATTCCAAAATTGAGAAAAATGTATAATAAGCAAAATCGAGGTGAAAGAAACTTTATTACCTGTAGAACTTATATTGCTCAGGACACCCATAATTTCTTCGCTTTGCCAGCATTTCTTGAAAGTGAGGTCATTATCAACCCAAGTTTCGTCCAAATAAATAATATGCCTTCCTTCTTCCCGGAACTTTTTAATAGACCTAAGATACTTGTATCGCCAATGTAAAATACTGGGTCTTTCCATTAGTAATTTCCTTTTGTTGTGGCATTTACGCCAGTAAAATCCTTTTGCTTTTAAAAGCAGCCTCAACGATTCTTTACCAAATGGAAATTCCATTTCTTCCTTCAGTTTGATTAGAAGTTTACTACAAGTAGGTACCACTTTAAAATCACAGTAAAATTTTTCTATCATTCTCCGAATAATGGAAAAATCGACTCCATCAATTTTTTGGATCACAGAAGGGCGTGATCTCTTTTTTCCGGGAGAAGCTAAAGGCTGTGTGGAGGTTGCATTTTGCCTGTCTTTATCTTCTTTTCTAATTTTACTTATAGTTCGTTCACTAACACCCGTATAATATGCCGCCCTTGCATTTCTAGCTACCAGTGGATAAACGAAAGTATTGTTAGCCGCTTCTGCATCGCAAGCACGTATCACGTTTGCTATTATTTCCCTTGCCTGGCTGTGAATAACTTTCCCATGCTTGAATTCCATTATCACCACTAAACAGTAAATTATATTTTCAAAGTATTTGCCAACTGCCTACGCCTATGGGAGTAGGTTTATAAATGACCGTGCCATCGGCACGTTATTCTAGTTTCAGATAAGATAAGAGTTTTGGACCAATCAGCGACCGGATGTTTACCTGCGGCCTGGGTTTTCCAGCTACATTGCCAAATTCAGCGGAACAATTCTATATCTTAAATATGTTAATATGTATGGACCGCATTTTATGTAGAACATCTGACAACTTCGCAATTTTTTGTCCGCATTCTTTCGGCTTGCAATCTTTCGCTGGTCCAACATTATATGCAAGATGTGAATCACAGAGAGAAAGGGTAATCAGTTATGCCAATATAGTGACAGCTTTTATAAAATTAAAATTTCCATATTTATGTTATAACTAAGTTTGCTTAAAGAATGACAAAGACAAATAGTTTACTTTTTTCCATATGAAAAATCAGCCATTTTAATTGAAATATGATGTAAATATACCAGTTCAATGTTTAAAATAAGCAGCTGTCACTGTATCGAACACTGTCTAGTAGCACTTTTCTAGATCTTGATTTTGGAATTAAAAATGCAATAAACATATGAAGGTGAAATTAAAGCTATTGTAAATAATTAAAAATTGTGATTAAAAATGTGTATAATTTGTAAAAATAATTCTTTAGTTCTAGTGTTGTGATATAAAAATATATTTCTAAATGAAAAAACATACACTTGCAAGCTTTTTATAAACATATCCGCCGTATTTGTTACATATTCTTGTATAATTTTGTTATTTTGTCGAATGATTTAACTTGTAAATGTTTTTCCACACCAGTGCTGTACATATTCTAGTTACAATATTAATGTTGTATTTGCGTTGATTTTGTCTTGGTTTTACTTCAAATTGTGAATACAGTAAATTAACCTTGCTACTATATTGTTTCATTGCCGATCCCTTCCCATTAGCTGAGCAATCTTGGAGTTTAAAAAAATATCAATTGTAGCAGTGTCCAGAAAAATGGTCATAATAGAAACGATGAAATTTGCTACAAGAAGACATCTGGGCGATTTTTTATCAGGATAACAGAAACACGAGGAGGTATATAATACGCTGAACCTAATATGTTACTGGCGGGAAATTCTAACCACTCATCCTCACACCTCTTGCCGTTCCTGTGATCCTAATACAGAATTCTTAGTTTCTGGAAATCGCACATTCGAGCAAAAATTTCTTGTGAAGTTGCTAAATTGGATCGGTAAGGATTTGCTATCAGGATAACAGAAACTCGAGGAGGTATATAATACGCTAAACCTAATATGTTACTGGCGGGAAATTCTAACCACTCATCCGCACACCTCTTGCCGTTCCTGTGATCCTAATACAGAATTCTGAGTTTCTGGAAATCGCACATTCGAGCAAAAGTTTCTTCTGAAGTTGCTAAATGGGATAGGTAAGGATTTGCTATCAGGATAACGGAAACACGAGGAGGTATATAATACGCTAAACCTAATATGTTACTTGGGGGAAATTCTAACCTCTCATCCGCACACCTCTCGCCGTTCCTGTGATCCTAATACAGAATTCTGTGTTTCTGGAAATCGCACATTCGAGCAAAAGTTTCTTCTAAGGTTGTTACATTTGATAGGTAAGGATTTGCTATTAGGATAACAGAAACACGAGGAGGTATATAATACGCTAAACCTAATATGTTACTGGCGGGAAATTCTAACCACTCATCCGCACACCTCTCGCCGTTCCTGTGATCCTAATACAGAATTCTGAGTTTCTGGAAATCGCACATTCAAGCAAAAGTTTCTTCTGAAGTTGCTAAATTGGATAGGTAAGGATTTGCTATCAGGATAACAGAAACACGAGGAGGTATATAATACGCTAAACCTAATATGTTACTGGCGGGAAATTCTAACCACTCATCCGCACACCTCTCGCCGTTCCTGTGATCCTAATACAGAATTCTGAGTTTCTGGAAATCGCAGCGCGGTACAACACTCACAACTCACACGCTTCATTCTCTCGGCAACCGTCGGCGTAGCGGAATGTCTACGCGTTCATAGCTCCGTGGAGAGCTCGATTCGGTTTAGCTACTTTTTTTCAGTATTGATGTTCACTATATGGTTCTCGATTGTCTCTCAGTGGTGCTTTGGTATTTTAGTGTTGTGACGCGGGTGTCAGGTGTCTCCAAAGTGGAAATTAGGTCTACTTCCAATTCTTCTGAGGGTAACAGGGTACCTCTGAAGCAACCTAGGTGAGCCTTGCATACTCATCTACTTGTGTGTTAGGGTTGACATCCTATGTTTTTTTAAATAAATTGCGCACATTGCATACACTGAGAGATTAGTCATATACTGAAGTATTTGGGAAAAACTGAAATTCGGCCAAATCTTTTTAATTTTTTAGTTATAAACAAACGTGTTTTTTTCTACTTTTTTATTTTATTCAAGTACGCGTTGCAAAAACATGCTTGATGTAAGATTGTGTGATTACTCAATTTAACCTAGTCTGATCGCTATCATGACCACACTGTAATACATTATAATAAAAAGAAATTTTCAGGAACGCGCACTAATCTAACGTTCCCGTAAGTATTCTTATGTACTTACATTCATTTTCTAATCTAGCATCACATGGATAACAAACTTTTTCAATTGCAAGTGAGACACAGGGGCAACCTACCTAATACCGTTTATGAAAACTCTTTACAACTCTACCTCACACTTTAAATACCAATCCTATGTTACTCTTGATGTTACTCCAAAATACCTAGAGACTCACACGTGGAAATCTGCAATATAAATAAGTGTTTTATGTTTATGTGCAAATTGTGGACAGGATATAATGATTGAAAATTTGATAACAATTAGTAAAAATTCTATATATCTTTATTGGTATTCCTCAATATTTCATTCAAAACTTCTTTTTTTTTATATAACATTTTAGCAAAATAGCAGAGGTAGCAAAATCGGCCGATGAGCTGGCAACGCCGCAATCCAGGTGACAAGAATGACAAGGTCAAAGCGGCAATTTTCCCATCTTCATTTGCATATTTTTAAGTGTTAATGCAACTATTTCGAGAAAAATTTAGCTACGGATAGTCTTCTAGAGTCTAGTAGAGTATATTTCAATAGTGGTTTTGCGTGGCCATGTTATCTGTCTCCTGCTGAGAAGTACTCCGATCTGCCATTTTCATCCCTAAAGGAGATAGGTATATATCAAAAACCTACGTATGTGGAACGCACCCTAGAAGATATGTCATGATTCATATGACAAATTAATCGTTTGTCACTTGTCAGTTTTGTTGTATTGGCAGGTTATGTGTCGTTGAATATTTATAACTTTTTTCGCTTTTCAATAAGTTATGACTGTTTATAACATCTATATATTCGATAGATCGGGTACCTTGTTATACTATCAAGAATGGAACAGATTCAAACAGTCTGGGATGACACGCGAGGAGGTTGATTATCATGTTCCCTCGGTTTTGCATCTTGTTAACTCGATATCCTTTTCAGGAAGCAAAGCTTATGTACGGTATGCTGTTTTCCATCAAATCTTTCGTTACGAAAATCTCCCCCACGGACACTAAAGAAGGTTTCCTCTACTACAAAACTTCAAAGTATACTTTGCATTACCTGGAAACGCCTTCAGGGCTGAAGTTTGTCTTGAACACAGATGTACATTCGCAAGGCGTCCGAGAGATTCTTCAGCTGATCTACAGTCAGGTAGGTTGAGCTTGTACCTTACAATAACTGACACTATCTGGTTCTATATTTTTAGGTGTATGTAGAGTATGTAGTAAAAAATCCTATGTGCAACCTGTCTCAACCTATTAGCTCTGAATTGTTCAAAACTAAGCTTGATGCCTATATCAAACAACTACCAATTTTTACTACTAAAACTGTTTGAAATGCATTTACTGTTACTAATGGATAACAACAATGGAGGAAACATTTAAGCATAGGAAATGTTAACATACTATGATTTAACAGTATTTGTTATAGAACCATATGTACTTGCAATCACCATATTGTATTGTTTTCTGGCAAGTAGCATTGTTTTATATCAATTCATACTATGACTGATTTATATGCCAATACATCTAAGACTAAAAGCGAGTAGAATAATTTTATGTAATTCAGTAATGATATCATCCAAGTGGTGCTCATTGAGCTACTGATTGTGTAGGTAAATATTATTGTTTGTCCATTGGGATGATCCATAAGATGTTTGCTTATAAATCATTGTCCAATCTAGCTCAGTCAGACAATTTCAGAGGAAAAAGAATGTGAAAATTGGAGGAATCTGGAAAACCAAAACAAAGAGAAGTAGATCTATTTAAAATGTACATATATCCAAATTGTTTAAAAACCAGGCTTAAAGGCAGAATTGCTGATTACAGAGCCTTATTCAATTAACTAGGAAATCTATACTTATTGGTTTGGTTTAAAGTCCTGATTTTTCTGATTTAGACAATACCTTTCAGTTGCCACCATCTTGGGGAATTAGTAGGGTAGAGAATACCTCAAAAGGTGCAATTTAGAAGTTCATAGATAAACATGAGTTGAATTTGATTTAAAAAGTATCTCAGATAAGCTCACCCCACTTCAGTTCACTCAGTTTATTGCATCTGTATTTATCAAAATCTCAGTTTAAATGTAGTAAGATTTCTTTCACATTTGATAGCCTCATTATGTTTGATGCAATGAACAGAACAAACATATTGTGCAAAAAAATCATTCAACTTGGGACAGTCAAAAGAGAATAAATATTTGAAATTGAAGTAGATTTGACACACTTGTTTTAAATACACCAAACTAAATTACTGAAAATTATCCTACCTATCCTCAAAAACATTGTCTAGACAAAACATTTATTCTTCAATTATGTTTTCACATAAACTATGCTTATACATACATAATGTATCATAATAAATGGAAAATAGAAATAATTTACATGATTCTAAAAACAGCAGTTTTTTCACTTTAAAGTTCCAAAGGTATGTAAAAATATTGACAGCAGTTTATCCACTTGCCATAAAGTTTAACTGACCCATTGAGAATTCATAATTTTTGCTAAATGTGGCCTTACTATTCACAAAAAACTTATACAGATTGCCTGTAGGTTGCTAATTTGATAGTAACAATGCTTTTATGATAACTAAAGGACTAATCTTTTATAAGGGATAACACCATAGAGTATTCAACATTACTCTTAAAAATTCAATTGTGCATTCAATATTCTAAATTCTCAGGAAATGAAAAGGGAAAAGTGTAGCACAAAAGAATTCAATGTGTTCTGTGAAACTGTCTGAGTATTGAGTATTTTACTTACCTTCCTGGGCAACTGTCACAAAGAATTACCTAATATACAGTTGCTATGATGCTTTAGCTGTATGTATGTATAGTATTAGTGGTAACAGACTGTATTTATTGTATAACATTGTATTTAATCTTCCAACAAAGTTTTACACTCCTGATTCATTCACTCAATAAATCAGCATAGAAACATTACTTTTCCAATGAAACAATATTTAGGAAAACCACTTTATATAAAATCAGACTAGCATGATATTTGTTGTATAACATTGTATTTAATCTTCCAACAAAGTTTTACACTCCTGATTCATTCACTCAATAAATCAGCATAGAAACATTACTTTTCCAATGAAACAATATTTAGGAAAACCACTTTATATAAAATCAGACTAGCATGATATTTATTGTATAACATTGTATTTAATCTTCCAACAAAGTTTTACACTCCTGATTCATTCACTCAATAAATCAGCATAGAAACATTACTTTTCCAATGAAACAATATTTAGGAAAAAAACTATATAAAATCAGACTAGCATGATATTTTTTGAACACCTTCAGTTCCATTGTGCTTATTTTCAAATCTGCCAAAACCCATCAAGCCACAATGAAACCTATCAATTAGGTGTCCCTTCACATTCGGTCTTATTTAAATTTGGTTCTGATTCTGATCGTTTTAGTGTTTCATCGAGGGGATCACTTTCAGTTTCTATTTCACTTTTGATATCTGGAAAGCTTCTTGTTACTGGTTCATCACTCATCTGCTCAATTTTGATATCATCACCTAAAAATAGTTTGAATATATGTGAGCATTTTGTGACAGTCCGATAATGCTTAATAACTGACGAGTGTTGTCTCCTAAATAAGCAGTACCTTCTACTTTCAATAGTTCCTCGTTCAAACTAGCATTTTTCAAATCCACGTTGCTATTATCAAAAATGACGGCTGCACCTAAACCGAGACTACCTAGAATTGTTTGATCCACATCACTAGGATCTATTTTTATATTAATATCCAATGGCGGAAAACCATTTGACAACAAACTTGATTTTATGTCTTTTGCTCTACCTGGAAAAGGAAAACAAAGTTTAAGAAACAATACATACCTAGATTGAAAAGTGGGCCGGAAGATAAAATGTGCGAGACTAATAATCACCTTCTCAAATGAGGTATGTATAGAATTTTTAGTAATATAGCCTTGATGGACAGCAAACGAAAACTGAGCAACTCTATTCAAAGTACCCCCTTACCAGAACGGTCACTGTGAAAATAAAACAGCAAGCTGTCTGTTATAACTGTATCCCAGTTTGCTGATTCTGGTGGTATGATAGACACAAGTTACTCCTTATTGAACAAACTAGTAACACAGACGACCAACCATGGATAGATTGTTTCGTGCTATTTGGCAACTCCTCAGCATGACAATGCGGACAGGAATTCACTTCCAACAGACATCTTGCTGTTTTAACTTTCGCGGTGGTCGATTCTGGTAATAGATGGCACTTTGTACAGAAGTAACGTGAATATCGAGTGTCCCACGTGTCTGAAAAAAAACCTTCACTCATACATAAAAATAATTTAGGTTTTATCGTTCCCAAATCTGAAATTGTTCGGAAGGCAGCACAGAACCCATAAGATTTAAATTCAGGGTTCATGATGGCTATGCATGCCAACGATTGAGTAATTTTTCGAAATGATGGCTTGGGGCCTTGCATTGTCTACAATCAATAAAAATGTAGATTTAAGATGTCAAATATATGCATTCACAATGTCTTGAAAATGTGCTTCTTTTGTAATAGAATAGTCGTAATTCAATGCTAACTAAATACTGCAACTGCGTGCTAAATTTTAAAGTGAAAAACGTACACCTTGCTATTACAAGACTCAAATAAAAACGCAAAAAAGTAGTACTTGGTGCATCGTTTTGGTTTGGGCTGATCCATCCAATGGGAGTACAGTACAAACATTATTTCAATTGTTGGGATATTCAAGAAAGAGAACTACCCATGTCATAAACAATTTTTGTAACATGCCAATAAGCCACACACTGTAGAAGCTGACAGAATGCTGGTTCCTTAATAGAACGTAATAATTATAGCAACTACAATGATTTCCTTATATCCTATTGTTATACAGCTTTTCGAGTTCTGATTTTGAAAATCACTCGATCCATCCAAACGAAATTCGACATCGAAAACGTTCACCATTAGAGGGCTTCCATCGTCTATTGAAGCAAGTAAAAACATTCACTCACTATTTGGGGTGTAGTTCGACGAAACCTGATCTCCACATTCATGTGGCTGTTCAATGATGGTATGTGACGGACTTGTCGCATGATCCACCTTGAGTCTAGCCCCGGTTAACGGGCTGTTACATCGCTGTGTTAAGGGCGAATTCATTGAAGTCCGTTCTTGCTTATGCTGCGATATCAGGTCACACGCTTTACCCAAGATTAAAAGGCTATTCGTTATTTTGAAAGTTCCTGTAAAGGATGATATAAGTTGGATTGGAAAAACTTGAATATGTACTTATATATACTCAAAAAATATATCAAGCAGTTCAAATCTGGTTTATATCAAAGTCCGTTAAGGCGGAGAGTTGATGGGTATTTGATGTATAAGAAAAATTTGTGGAAAATATATAAACTGGAAACGTATAAATTACTAGCACCAAAAAATTGACATATACTATCCCACCTCCAAGGTCAGGATGCTTTGAAATATCAAAGAAATTATGATTGGGTACTTACAAAGTACAGGGTACCCAGGAGAAGACCAACATTATCAAAGCCCATTTGTTGTTTGAACTGCAGGCAAAAATATTCCAAAAAACCTATCTTAGGACTTAAATTTGCTACAAGCTGGTGGAAAACTTGTTTAACGAATTTATCTGTTAATGACCTTTGATATAAACTGCATCATTTGGACATAAGTTTATTGGAGTACAGTATTACAAGGACTAGGATAAATGTTTGCAATTTTGTATTATAAGTAAAACTGAATATCAAACGTTAGGCAGATATCTGGAAATCGTTAGCTGACATAATGCATGTGAATAATGTGTATGTCAATATGAAACATGCAGCAAAGCTCTAAGATTGGCGAGACGGCCTTTAAAAGTAACTGCCAAGTTTATAATTTATGAATTTCAGTAAACTGAATTTGTTTTGGGATTAGTCCAGATATACCTGGATAGGTTGTAGTGAATCCTTAATATTTTCAACATTAAACATGATCACAATTTATTAAAAATTACTTTTCAATCCGGTGTTTTACCTTCATCCTAATGTATCAACAAAGATCTAGAGAACTATTGCATGCTCAATTCAGATCGTAATTATGGGTACTTATTTTTTAATTGCATTGAATACTGGTACAATTAAATCGGTCAGTGCATATTATTTTGAAAGTACACTTAAATATCGACTGATTAACATGCCACGTGTTTTAATGTTGCATGTTTTAATAGTATTAAGGTACATCAGGAAAGTCGAATTTCCTGTTTTACAACTATCGTGAATCGACCATAAATTCAAAATTCTTCAACAATCGTTAATCGGGAGGATCCAGGGTCTTATTTTACTATTCAGGCATCAAACCGTACTTTTTCAACAAAAAAATTTATAAAGGACTTCTCAGTCAGGAAACAAGAGAACTTTTAAACGAGTGATTTTAGTCAAAGCGGATAAGGCCTTCAATCTTATTTCTGTAGTTGTGGATTTAAAATTTATGTTTTAGCGCTCATAGCAAAAAATATGAAAAAGAAAGAATATGACCCATTCAAGTACCCACCGTCGCGTCTAGCAGTGCGTGCAAAAACGTAAGTCCCGAACTTACAATATTTTTGCACTCAACGTGAATTACCTCGTGCTATTTGGAGGGGAAGGAATAGAGTGACTTACGAGGTGTATACCCAAAATGAGCATCTACCTTTAATAAAGCGTTTTAGATATAAAAAGCGTGTTGGTAGAACAAGCCTTTGCAATGACCGATTTAATTATATGAGATTTGTATTTACTTTGTTTTGTGTAACAACCTGTATTGATTATTCAGAATAAAGGCACGATCACTTCATCGGCGAGTTTTTCAAAAATAAAAATAATTATAAACCAAGATAGTACTTGCCGTAGGTCACAATTTATAGATGTATGTATGTATGTATGTTCAATGAAATTAACCATTTGTTTTCAAGATAATTTATCTAAGCTGTTCATGTGCTCTCTTAAGAAACTTGACATTTTACAATATTATTTAAATTTTTATAAGAAAGCAATATAAAAAATGATCATATGATATTCAAAGCGCGTTTAAACGTTAGCAGGAAAATCCGCCTCATTTTCAAAGCGTTGCCTTAATCTTGACAAAAAAATGTTTCATAAATGAAATATAAATGATGGCAAACTAGTGAGAATAGAATTCCATATATCTAAGCCTAAGATCCTAGCAAGATTTGCATTGACTTACCAAGGCACAAATATCCAACAATAAATACTATAACAGAAGGGATATCGTCAATCCTAATGGAATGAATTAATACTCTGATCATCACAACTCCCAAGGGCAAGGGGATGAAGCCCATTCTGCGAGCCACCAAATCAGAATGGTCGGAGAAGGCGTGTTTTTGGCGGGTTTGGGCTACATCGTACGCCAAACTTCTTGTGTAGTCTTTGTACACCTCTATGTTCAGTTCGTTAAACCTGTAAGGTAAAAGAAATCAGCTGGTCAAATTCCATTATTTATGTATTATCAAGAAAAAGCGTCTGCTAAAATTTCACAGATTCTGAGTGCCGCTCGCCATATGACATGTGGCTCTGTCTTGTTGAAGTACTTATTATCCAGTTGATGCCACGAAAAGTCCATATTTGTGGTACTGTTAAGGTCTAACTTTTCACTATTATGATTTTCATGAAAAAAATATTGGTCGTAAAACAATCAATAAATAAACTGTCCGGTTCTATAAATGGCATGTGTGGTGTTTAATTTTTAGGGCAAAGTTGTTGAACAATGACGCTAAATTTAAAATTTTCAAGTACTTGTTTGGAGGCCTTCAATAATAGAGTTTTTAACGCATCCAAAATAACGAATCGTTAAGCGTTCCCTTAGGTTATTTTTTACAGCGACAAGCAAATAAGGATGATGGTTGAAAAAACAAACATCTCTACCAGAAGCATTTACTTTCACTTTTGAGCATAGACATGCAGGACTGCCATGTTTTTAAATCAATATCGACAGAAATAATAAATATTGCTGACGTAATCACCTTCTAGTCCCCCCCCCCCCCCCCTCCAAATAGGGTGTGCTTATTAAATACTTTAATAGTTCCTAATGGATAATGGAGGTTTGTCCTGCTACGACGCAACATCAAAATGAGGTGATAAGCAGCAAAACAAGGGCACTAAAAACTCTTAATATTTTTATTTTTCACCCTAAATACAGATATTTCCATTGAAAAAGATATTAGTGATTACCTACCTGGTGATAAACGCATGTTTTATCCAATCAATCAACAGTTCCGCCACCATAACAATGATGCAATCAGGTAGCATGACCCAAAACCTGTCAGCTTTCCAACTGTACTCTTTCATCGTTTGAAGGATGACAATTGACAGCAGCGTGAACAGATGGAATCGTTCTCTAACGTCGCTGCACGACACTTGGAACAGATTGTTGTTGTCGAATTTCTTGAAGACGCTGCCTTTCAACTCTACAAACTAAACGTTTTTAGTCAAAAAAGAACAAGCCTAGCACAGTGGATACGGTTTCTAAAATGACGTATCCAAATGACATAATACACCTTTAGAATATGCTGATTGGTTGGAATTTGTTGGTATTGTCAAAAGCATCAGATATCGCGTACTTCTCTGACTTAAAACTGAATATAGAACAGTGTAGGAATCGGCAGTACATAAAAAAATCGGTCACTACGACCTAGATAGAAAAATGTTTCGAACAGATATTGTATAAATAAATTATCTTTTCAAGACTAATCATCAAAGAGTAATTTTTGTATATTTATTACTAAAATGCAGATTGGTTCAAGTTTATTAAATAATCTAATCAACATGTAGAATTTGGTTATTGGGAAGGCAATACTTACATTATTTGACATCATAATCGTCATCAACGATTTGTTTCTCGAATTTATCGCAACATTTAAAGTAGTTGCTTGTAAGAGTACCAATACGCTATGAGCAACTATTTACTCCGAGTCAAGGAAAAAATTATAAACACGATATTCGAGGAGCAAAAATGCAAAAACCCATAATTCCACTTTTTACAATTTTTGAGTTAGGCATGGAATTCGGTTAATTTCGATATGCTCTATCCGTTTTTGAACGCAGACAAGAGCAAAAGCCGCTAAATCCTCATGAAAGTGGAAGTTCAAAAAATTTTAAATTTGACGGGGATTTTTCTCTACAGGTTTTTTCCGTCTGTCTCAGAACTATAAAATATGGATTTATCGGTTTTTGCACTTTTCCTCTTCACTTATACTATTCAGCAAATAATTGATTATACTAGATCCGCTTTGTTATACATTTTAAGGAGTAACCAGTATGCTACCATTCATTGTGAGCCAAAAAAACAAACAAAAAGTGCTATGGCAAAGATTGATTAGTTTTAATGGTTAGTGCATTGTGGCAACACTTACTTACATTATTCGATATCATGATTGTCAATAGTGCTTTGTTCCTAGAATTTATTGCAACATTCAGAGCAACAGCTTGAAAAAGTACCAGCGTGCTATGAGCAACTATATTCATATTGAGTCAAGGAAAATAAATAAGAAATATAGAGTATATCACTCCTCAACAAAAAACATTTTTAAAAAAACACCAAAAAGGATACCAACATACATAATGGCAAACATCAAATGAGTCAATGTGCCTAGGTGTTCCCTTTTCCTATCTCTAGGCTCTGTAGCTGTCCACAACAATGCATCTATGGCATCTTGACCAAATGATGAAAACAGCCTAAAATATTATCCATCAATCACAGAATCAACACAGTATGAAACAGACGAACCTATCTCCAATTTCTAGCATGTTAAAAAATATGTACAGCTTTATAACAGATTGGCTTTTTATCAAATGGTACAGCATATTTGTATCTAAGTAAAACATTGTTGCAGTACACACTAATAGTATAAGGGCTTTAAGTAGATCACATACTTCTGCCGGTGTTAGGATTCTTTTATTCTTTTTATCACCAAACCTGCAATAGATAATAACAGATACAGTATGAATCATAGGTGACCACACGGGAGTACCTTAAAATTTGCACATTTAGCAGGAATTTGTGTACAGTTTTGGTGAATTTGAGGATTAGGAAACATTGCTGTGATAATGGAAATTGTAAGCAAATGTTCAGAAACAACAGAAGGTAGAGCACCTTTTTGGAGATTATGCTAATGAATGATTTAAGTCAACATGAAAAGTGCTGCGTTTAAAATGTAGAAAATCAATTTTACATACCCAAAACATTTGCTAAAGGGTCGTGTGATCAGCGCCCACAGAGCCAATATGACTCTGATTGGCAGAAATGTATACACAAACAATAAGGAGTCTGCACATTGCATAAAACCGTATGTCATGAACCTTTCAACCTCTTTCGGTATTTTGATGAATGAGTAGATTTTTTCTCGTCTAGCTGAAAATCTTTCTTCTGCATTTTCCAGCTGATAGTCTCTTGTTAATTCTACGTTGAGAAATGACCATAAACTGGGAAGTTTATCTGAAAATTAGTCAATATAAACCAGTTATCAGAATTTTTATTGCATGTTGAAAATTAATAGGATTTTCATTTCTTAGAATATTTGTTTACCAATTATTTTGTAATACCAGATTATTTTTATCAGCAAGTTAAAATATGGTAGTTATAAATACGAAACAAAGGCTATGTTTACACTGCGGTTAGCAAAGCATTTATTGACAGCGTATGGTGTAGATGGGCACATAGCAACACAAACTATTGCTCTATCTAAGCATTTGACTAGGCACAGCACATGAGCAATGTTCAAATTAAAAAAATAATAAAAGACAAAAATTGTTTGCCTGTCAAGTTAACATCCCAAATCCAGCATTATCAGTTTTTTCGTTAATTCTCAGCTCTAATGAAATAGTTCTTAGATTTTTGATAGTTTGTTTTTATACTCAAATACCAGGGCACCACAACATACAGGTGCAGGATACAGCAAATAGTTCCACATCAGAAATTCACAATTAAAAAAACTGAAAAGGGGTACCACGCCATTTTTTTTTTCAGTATACAAATAATTGTATTACTTTCTATTATTTTCTAAGTTACTTGTCCTGCTATCAAACTAATGTTGAATGTACAGTTCAAACTATACACTGTATGATAAGTTGTATGATAGATAAGTGCATAGTGAAATTGTGATTAGTATATCTATATGTTTAGAGTATTTAGTATTTTCTTTAAATTATAGGAACTTGCTAATCATTAGCTTGTAATTTTCTGATAATAAATTGCTCATTTTGGGTTTGGGTTTGACATACTATTTAAGCCTAGAACCCCAGCCATAAAAAAATAAATTAACAGTACCCTGGGATACATATTATGTACCCCAATAAGACAGTCATTTATAAAAACAAAAATCAACTTACATAGGTTTTTGTAATATTTTTTTCAGTCACAATGATAATGTCTTTCTGGCCCCCACCAAAACATATCACCTTATAGCAAACAAGAATGATTTTAATTTGTACCCCAGGGTACAGTTCTAGGGTTGAGACATAAGCTACATTCAGTTGTACAACTAATGTTACAATCTGCTTAAAAATCTTTAACAGAAATAATAATATTGTGCAAAATATGCCTTAGTAAAGTGTAGTTCATCAATGAAATACACAGCCTACAAGATTAATTTTGAAAATCAGTTTTATAATGGATCCATACTACCAAAAAGTTATGGCATGAATTCAAAATACAAGATTGTAGGCAAGCACATATTATGTGCTCTTCCTCAGAAATCCGATAAGTATCTAATTTATATAGAAATGTACTACTTACATGTTTTACAAGCCATTTTTTCTTTCTGAGCTTACATATTACTCAGAACTTCTGCTTTGAGCAACTGGCCACAAATCATGCCTGATACAAGTTGTAAACAAATATAGATTCATCTAAATATATTTATGATAGAATAACCATCCTTTTGTTAGAATATATGTCAAACATTGTAAACAATCATGACCCTACCTGCAGAACACTTCCTTGATGAGTCAGTTTCGTCAAGTTGCATATCAGTCTTCTCATTCCTCAGCAGATCCTCTATCTTGCTGTCTGCTGCAAATAACACTTTGGCCGGTTGTCGGAATCGGATTTTTTTCTCCTGTTGAACTTTAGCATCCCCATTTATCGACATAACTGCTTGGAAAATTGCTTTGCGCGTTTAGGTTAGTACGTCATCTTACTTGGAGCGTGAAATATTTTCTTTTGAAGTGATTATATTGAAAGCGTTAGATACTGTAATGTAGTTTACCCGAGCTAATGCGCCGCTACCTGATGCATTACAAGATTATTGTTCCGTTTATTTAATTTTGGGGCCTTGTTTTCCTTAATCTGACAATCATATCACTTTTTGCACAAAACGCAGCTAGGGAAACGTCACTGTCAAGTGTTCGGTGATTTGCAACGCCGCTTACTTTACCGTATAACGGGTTGCCTAAGATAGATAGCTGCCACAGAACATGAAACAGCAGCTGCAGTATCGATTGATAACCCAGGAAAATAAGGAATTTTCAAATGGATAAATTCCTGTAACTTATAGTGCGATGCATATTTTTCCTTTGCGAAATATCCAAAAATGATTTTTAAATCAACCTTGTTCACGTTTAAAATATTTACGGTATTTTACCACAAAGATATTTTTTTGAGAATTGTTTATTTCTAGATATGAAATATTTGGTTTCTGATTGTTGTTTTTTTTACAGGATATGAGAATCATGACTCTTCAGTGCCAGTTGAAATCAGCGTTTGTGAATGAACTTGTGTTAGTGAACAATTATTGTGTTATATAGTGTGTGCGTTTACTATGTAGTGATTTCGGTAAGTTTGTGCAAGCATTTCGTATTTTTTTCTTTAATTATAATCATGCTCTACATCGGAAATAGCAGTTCAAGCTTTTTTAAGATTTTTTTATATTGAAAAATTATTTGCCGCTTCAATCTTCTTCGCTATCTTTTATTGGGAATGGAATGATATTTATTTGTTATGGCTACATTAGCGGCAGAATGCAAGAAATGGCTAACCTAAAACAATTGATAGTGCGCGACCATAATGTCCGAATGGTATGAAGTCTCTAGTCGGAATGAATTTGATAGTGCGGTCAATTTACTTAGACCAATCGGCAGGGGTGTTGCGTAATTTCAAAACTGATATGCATTATATAGGTTTATCTCGTAAAAACGCCAAATTGCGGATTGCAGTCTTATCTTCAACGAAGCATTCGGACGTTCGTCCACGGTCTGCAGATCTGCACAACTGAAACTGACAGTGAAAATAAACCCAAGTGCTGGTGACACATCAGCACGAATCGAAATTGTTTCTTCAACAAATTTTACTATCTACTATACATTTCTCGCGCAATGACGTAGTTTGCTTAGAAATAAAAAGGCCGATTCGATTTTAGAACCTTTGGCCTTCTCAGTAAGTCTCTGGAGTGTTTGAGGAGCCAATTTAACATCGCAAAGGTTAAGCGAAGAGTACAAAATGACGTCAAGTAGGTTTATTGCATTTTCCACGCAAAGCTGTCATCAATTCGTAAAAGATTATGTTCGGCACAAAGCTGCGACGTTGTAATACCGGCACATCTCTAAGTCGCACTAAGTTGTATGGCGTATCGATCCACAGCGCCGCCAACCGGAGTTCACTAATTACTTATCATTTTCAAGCGACATATATATGTTAGTTAACATCGTTGGCATACAATGTCTGCAGTGTTGATGACTTAGGATAACATACCTTAACATTTGATACATGTGGTGCAGAATCGCAACTTCGTCAATGGTTTCTGTTTTAACTTCGTTGTTCTCAATTCCTATATTGAAAATGTTTAATAATATGTAATACATAATATAATGATATGGTTGTCATATCGCGTCTTATGATGAGCAGACGGTTATTTTACCATTTGCATTTGCAAACATTTGGTGTAAAACAATCCCATATTTCTTGAAGCTTTTGTCTCAGTTCGGTGATTGTACGAGCAGGATGTTATCGTAGAACCTCTCGTGCCACAAAGTTTCAATAGGTGACAGATCTGGACTGCTAGAAACCCATTTCAAAAGTGGTACATTATTTTCTTCCATCCATTTTATAGCCTTTTTTGAGATATGGCACGCTGCACCATCTTGCTGAAACACAAAATCTTGGCCTCCATCACTGGTAAAAGCGATTCTTCTAAAATTGCCAAATATTTGTTTGTATCCACATTTCCATCAATAAAAAGTTTTCCTACTCCTTTTGATGACATACTGCCCCGGACCATAATGGATGCTGGAAATTTCACTTTTCTCTTCAGACAGTCAACATGGAATGCTTCATTTTTTTGCGAATAACTCTACTGCGATTGTCACTAACACAAACTTCGAATCGGGCCTCATCACTTCAGTGTATTGCACAACATTGTTGAGGTGTCCATTGTCTATGTTCTTTAGCCCATCTAAGCCGATTTTTCTTTTGCAGTGGAGTTAAAGTGGCTTTTCTTTGGCCTATCAACAAGTTGTGCAACTTTAGGGTTTTTACTTCACTTTTTTATAAGAAAACTTACCTTGCAAATGCTAAATCCCAGTTTGTGGGCCTCTCTATGAGTTGTGGACCTCGAAATTCTCCTTCCAACAGCGTCACTCCACAGAGCACTTAATTTTAAATAATTGGCACGCCTGTTTTTCACGATTATTCTTCTTAATGCTCTTCAGTCGGCATTTGTGATATTACTTTTTTTCACATATCGTGGCTTAATATTAACTGGACCAGTTACGTTATATCTTCTAACAATATTTCTCACACTGTACCGCGATAAATCTAACAAAGTTACAATTTCTGAGTTTGATTTCCCAGAATTAAAAAATTTAATTATCAGTAACCGAATTTTCTCACTAATAACCTTTCCTCTACCCATTTTGAAAACATTAACTACCCAAAACTATTTTAAACGTATTCTGACAGCTGTGATTAATAAAAAAATTGTCATGGCTTTTATTTTTCACAGCCACCTATGCGTTATAGACTTATTTTGCATTGAAATGAAAATAGGTTGATATGCTGTAATTGCAACATGTGTTATTTTTATGCTGCAAATTTGATTAGGGTTGTTAATATTTTAAACCTATAACACCCTGCTACATTTTTATTATTATTTGTGTTTGATAAGAAAAATATTAAGATTTCAATAGTTGGGCCAACTGAAGTGGGAAGGGGCTCGTACATATCGGCAAGTTGTGCAAATGTATCATCCGAACCCCCAAAAATATTTGGGGCTTGCAAATTTTCTCTGAATGGCAAATCTTAAAAATCCCAAATATTGTAATGTACTGCGGGGAAGACAAGCGCGTGTTCCCCCTCATTTGGTCATTTGCTGATGTTTGTCTTTGTATGAGTAACTCCTTTGTAGAAAGGGTTAATACAGAATGTGAAAGAAAGTCGCGTAAGAAATGATCTTATTTACACTTTACACTCGAAGTTACCCAGTCAAACCAGAGATAAAATGGCACACTCTTACTACTCGTACTTATTTGCTTTTCATTCGATGCAATAAAAAATGGCATCAAGTAGGTTGACTCTGCACACTGCATGCAAGGCCGTCATCAGTCCGTGAAGGATTGTACAAATTAGACCCTCTGAAAAAAGTTAGAGGAGAACCAGTGTTTTATCGAATTTCTTTTATTGCGAGAAAGATTGGAAAAGTTGATGAAGCGTACTGTGAGATGTATGGAAGATCGATTGAGGTACGAATGATTACGAAGCTCCTAGATTTTGATTTTTTAATAGTTGTAGATGAAATCAGTTCAGTTTGAGTTAGACATCATTTCAAAACGTAAAATGAAATAATGTATATTTTTGAAGTATGTGTATACTAAAAATCAGATAAAACTTTTGCAGTAAAACTCCTCAGCCCCGCAGCAATCTCGTACAGTTTAATGCTTTCAAAGTGCGAACAAAAAGCGTCCTAGTGCTCAGTTTCTACCAAAGAACCGTTCATTTTGGCTGGTCGGAGTATAGAGGCAGCTGCTGAAAAAACCGAGACAATTTGTTTAGGGCTAAGAAGTAGTATTCTCCACATGACCTGCTCACTCTATCGAAGGCCCAGATAACGCCTAGCCCCGACTACTGCTCACCTGTTCGGGGTGCTGCCGCCCCGACTACGTCATCCACGATCGATGGTGATCAGACTGATCGATGACTCTTATCTAACGGATACTCTGGGAACCCTTTCGCACCGACGAAGCGTGGACGATCTAGCTCTCTTCTAACCGCTACACCAACAGGCTTTGCTCCTCAGAGCTCTTCTCCATTGTACCGCCGACCGATGTGCCTTCCAGGCAGACCCGCCTGGCCTCAGCCTCCCATCCTAGCCCTGTCGAACTTTGAACATCCAGAACTGGCCGATGCGTCAAGATGATGGACGGTGAAACTCGACTTGTATCGACCAAGAACTGTCCTTGACAGTGGTCGCCCAGGGTGCAGGGGTGAGGAAGGTGGCGACACGCGGGATGTGGCTATGACTTTTTGAATGTCGTCTGGTCATCAGACCAAGGGGAGACAACCAGGGAACCGGGTATTTGCCTCATGAATAAGCGCCTTGTCACGATGGTGAAAAATCTGTTAATTTGTTCACGTTTTTTTAGTTGTGGAATGGAAATTACGTAAGGCGAAAAAAGAAGGAATCCTCCTCGTCCGTCAAGACGTATTGAGGGGCGATGAGGTCTGCCGGTAAAACTCGACTTGTATCGACCATGAAGTGATTTTATGTCACCCGTCTATGGTACGTCTGACCTTGACAAAGGTCGCCCTGGGTTCAGGGGTGAGGAAGGTATGATGCAGACACGAGATGTGGATATGACTTTGAATGTCGACTGGTCATCGGAGTCCTGCGGGGCAAGGAAAGTCAGGCGGGTGCTTGCCTCGTGTATAAGTGCACTATCACGACGATGAACAGCAGCAGGCTGGTCTGGTTGGTCTGCTTGCAGCCGTGCCGTCGTCGGTCGTCCGACATGGCAGTCAGGGTCACCGGCGCTGTTATCAGAAAGTGGTCCGCGGGGACATGAGCGGGTAGCGTCGCTCGGCGAAGGGGTCTGCGCGGGCGGGGGGTGACGGAGCATGGAGCGAGCTCTAGGGGAGGGGAAAGGAGGACGGTCGGCGGAGAGTGTTATTCGACCGTCTAGACGGCCGCGTCGGCAACGCTGCCACGCTGACGGGAATGTCGCCGGTATGGGGATTTTGACGGAGGTGGGGTTGGCAGAACTATGGGTTTTCGTATTGTTAAACCGCCTTATGTTTTTTGTCAAATCAGAATATACTTTATTCTGGAAGCAGGCAATTTTCACATAATTTTATTTTTTGCTACGTTTTATTGTAAATAGACTAATTGTACTATTTTTCGTGAATATTAATGAAATAGTTCCGA